GCAACGGACTCAAAAATAGGGATGTCGATAGGTATACCATCGATGGAGCATCCATCAACACTAATGACGACGTGTCGAGGCTCAGTACCATCATTACGTCGACGGTACTAGACTCCCTAAGCAAACTCGGGTCTCCCAGCTCAGGGTTGCTGAACACAACAGTGGTTCCCAAAAACCCTGCAGGTGATTCGACCCACGTTAAGAGAGCCCAAAAGAACCAGGCATCACCGCCTAAGCCGAGCAACCCAAGTGTTGCTGCACGGAAAATAACTGGTGATTTAGTCGCATAGTCTACCCCCAAGACTGTTCATCCGGTCAATAAAGAGCCCAAGATTCATAAACGCACACTGACCTCCAAAAAACAAGTTATTAAACCTGAACCCATCGTGAAACCTGGTAAATTAACAACAGTTCGTGACGATTCTCTCATTATCATGAACCTCGTCGGCAATCCTGACCTTCCTCTCAGTCTGCAGGATAAAAACGACAGGATGCTGTGGGGTGAATTGAACAAGAAGCTCGAACTTCCTAGAATAGAGCCTTTGACGGTCACCCGGCTCACTCGAGGAAAGGATTCTAAGCATCTAAATCACCCGAGGCTTCTCCGAGTAACACTTAAGAATGCTACCGACGTAGAGGACGTCTTGCTAGCAAGTCACTTACTGAAATCAGATGGTAACGTAAGAATATTGCCCGACATACCGTACTCTGAGCGCAATATCATACGAAACGTCCCTAAAGAATCTCGCGAGAAGTTCTTCCGCGGAAGAAACATAATTGTCCAAGGTATACCGGAAAATGCAGACCCTACTCAATCAAATTCTGACATCAGGGAATGGAAATTCATCAAACAGTCCTTGAGGCTCAAACACATACTGACTCAGCATGTGACGAGACTAGCCAAGAAGGACGGTGATCTTAGACCCCGTCTAATGAAGATAACCTTCCCATCTTCCCACATGGCGGCTGCAGTTCTGGAAGCATTTCGTGCTAATAGATGTCGATTGCCACCTGGAATCCACATGCACCCGGATAGGCCATACGAAGTCAGGACCAAGAACAAAGGCAAGTTGGAGCTGACCATTCCACTTGTGGACTGTCTAAACGATAAAAAAACGTGTAAAGGACAGGGCCTACCACCTTGGCAAACCTCATATAGGTGGGCTACCTGTCCATTCACATAAGGTTCATACAGAAAAACAGGACGAAGCTCACGCGTTCCAAATTGAAAGCATAAACTGCTTATATATGAACGCCGCGAGCTTACCAAACAAACTGGATGAACTACGTGAACTTAGCAACGCTAACAAGGCCCATCTGATAGGAATATCTGAAACCTGGATATCTTCTCAGTTCTCGGATCAAGAGTTAGCATTGCCTGGGATGACTTTGTTCCGCAACGACAGAAAAATAGGAATTGGGGGCGGAGTAGCCATATACATAAGCTCTTGCTTGGAGGTGCACCAGGTTCACAACCTCGAGTTTAACAATCTTGAGGAATCCATATGGTGCTCTGTAAGATTGTCTAGTACTTCCAGGTGTCTAGTCGGAGTCATTTACAGGAAGCCAACTGCCGACAACGAGTACGATAGTCGTATGCTGGAAGGACTATCCCGCTCTATCCGTCTCGGTTTCACACACATCCTGATTCTAGGGGACTTTAATCTCCCTAGAGTCAACTTCGCGGAACACACGTACACTGGAGGCGACAACTCAACTGAAGCTCGGTTCTTCAACCTCATCGATAACTTGGGCTTATATGAAAATGTGAGGTCGGCAACTCGTTGGAGAAACAGTCAGACACCATCGCGCTTAGACTGTGTATTCACTAACGAAGAATTCCTAGTCGACAACCTCTCAATCCTGGCTCCTCTTGGAAGAAGCGATCATGCCGTCATAGCCTTCAGTTTTGTCATCAAATCTAAGCTAAGGTATCCCAACAATAATTTGCGTTGGAATTTCAAACGGCTGAATGTGCCAGCTCTACATGACTATCTACAACAGGTGGTTTGGGATGTTCACCCTCAAATCGATGTGGATGGTCATTGGGACTTCTTACTGCACACGCTCTTATGTGCTACAGACCATTCAGTTCCTCAAATGGTTCCCAAAAGCTGCAAGCCACCTACAGTAATCAAGAACCGTACCCTTCGCCTCCTAAGCCGCAAACGGCACTGTTGGGCGGAATACAAACGAACTAATAACGATGGAGCGTATAGGCAATACAAACATATCAGGAACACATGCACGAAGGCTATAAGAGAAGACAGGCTTCAGTACCAAACAAAGCTTATGGACAAATTCGCCTCTAACCCTAGAAGCCTATTCCGTTATGCAGCCTCTCTTCGTCAAGCCAAAACAGGAGTTTCCCAACTGCTAGGTCCTAACGGCCCGACCAACAACGATGGCGACGCCGCTAACCTTCTGGCGGCCCATTACTCCCAAACATTTCAACCGGCTGATATCAACTTTATTGACGACAGTTTCATCTGCAATTCCACAGGACTTTCTGAAGTGGACCTAAGCGCTGACTTGGTGTTCCGGAAACTGCAGCACTTAAGACTTGACACTTCTCCTGGCCCGGATATGGTTCATCCTGCCATACTGAGGGAGGCAGCCTCAATCCTGGCAACGCCGCTTAGCGTGATGTTTTCACACTCGCTTAGCCGAGGCAAACTACCGGAAAATTGGAAGTTGGCTCACATCACACCAATTTTCAAAGGTGGTCGACGCAATGAACCTTCAAGTTACCGGCCGGTAGCTCTTCTGTCGTTACCTTCAAAACTCATGGAGTCCCTGATATGCGACGGTTTAAATGACTACCTACTGTCCTTAAATTTCTTCTCACCCCAACAGCATGGTTTCAGGAAGGGTTACTCTTGTATAACCAACCTGCTGACTGCGGTGGACAGATGCACAAGCATCCTCGATTGCAAGGGAAAGGTTGATGTCATTTACCTTGATTTCTCAAAAGCTTTTGATAAGGTTAACCACTTGTGTCTTATCAACAAGCTCAAACGACTAGGTATCAAACCACCTCTAATCGACTGGCTTACTTCATACCTAAAAAATCGACACTTTAAGGTTAGGGTTAATTTCACTTTATCTCAAGCTATGGAATGTCCTAGTGGGGTCCCACAGGGCTCAGTACTAGGGCCTCTTCTCTTCTTGATCTACATAAACGATCTTCCTCAACAGGTAACGTCAGACTTATTACTTTTTGCCGACGACGTGAAACTTTGGAGAGAGATACGCAACCAAGACGATATACAGGCACTTCAAGAGGATCTGACTCGACTTCAAAGTTGGGCAGACGATAACGGACTTACCTTTAACACTTCTAAGTGTAAAGTAGTCCATCTGCGACATGTCGCAAACTACAGTTACAACTTAGGAAACTCCTCTCTACTAGTATCCCAAGTCGAAAAAGATTTAGGAGTCCTGGTGCCCCATGACTTAAAGCCTTACGCTAACTGTGACAAAAATGCCTTCCAAGCAAACCTTGCACTGGTAACGTTGAGGCGCATTTTTGGCCAGTTTGACGGAAGAACTTTCCACACAATCTTCAATAGTTTCATTCGTCCCCATTTAGAGTACGGAAACATAGTACTCCCCCCTCACTCCAAAAGGATAAGGTCACTTTGGAGCGTATCCAACGGCGAGCCACGAAATCAGTTCGAGGACTCAAATCCAAGCCTTACGAAGAACGCCTCCGTTCACTAGACCTTTACCCACTAGAATATAGGCGTCTTAGAGGTGATTTATTAATGGTTTATAGTATTCTGAACACTTCTGGACATCCTCTTAAACACCTACTTAAGCTTAGTTCGAATAATAACCTAAGGGGTAACACCCAGAAACTGGAAACACAACATAGCAAGACGGAATGTAGACACAACTTTTACTCCTTAAGAGTTGTCAAAAGCTGGAATTCGCTGCCGGCCGAGCTAGTCCTTCAAGAGGCAACTTGACCTATTCTTAAGGACCAAGGACACCATCACATTATGATTTACCAATTTCTTTTCCTTTTTTATTGTTAACATACCTAGGTTCCTGCCTGGAGGATTTGGTGATCCCCTGCTACTAGACACGGAAGCCTGTTAAGTGAAAGCTTCTTCTATTCCGTCCACAACCATTTGAACCATTTGAACGAACCAATCAAACTTCGCGGTCAGAATCTATCATGGATTACACCTTCAATGTATCAAGGTACCATGGTTGCCGTGAAGACCGTATACTACAAAGGATGTTGTTGTGGAAATATATTAGTAAGAATGAGTACATAGAACATAGCAAGACCACCACCGCATGCTCCAGTTCATGGTATACGATTAACTGATGCGCGTTGGCTGCCATCGGCTTTGACAGGAATCGATGATCTATTCGATATTCAGCGACCCAACTGCCGAATGATTTGGCTAGGGCTCAGTGACATTTCACTGCCCCTACAGCACTATGAAGTTGCTATGCTTTGAACTGTTAGACGCTACCTATATAAACAAACTTAATCGATGTCATGGCTGGTTTCTACAAGGTCCTAAGTAACAAGTTGCTATCTGTGGACTGTCTTTTCAAGAAGCAACAAACCATACTACACTCATTAACTTGGTTTCGTCCTGTCACTTCGTATATACCATTGCGTTCTCAACCGTATAATAGTTTAGGTTGTTTAGTTTTCTTTTCTTGTTGACTGATATATTTTTAACTTATCACCCTTTAGGTAAGTCGTATCAGTCAACTGGCTGCCAAATGGTCCAAATACAGCTGTCTTCGTCAAACTTGGTTCCCTCCGCAAAAACGACGATCGAGAATTTGTTGGATTCGCTAGCATAACCTCAGTCAAAGGCCTAGCAAACACTGTTAAATGCAGCCGATTACCCGCCATAGACCTCCTAAAGTCAACACACTGGCAGACAGAACTAGCTGTTTTGTACAACCTTAAAAGTTCGTCATGTGATTTTTTTATTGGATCGCAGTATTGTCGCGCTGAGTTTATTATCATTCATGTAGCGCACTGTTCAAATCATCTTGTATTGTTTCCCGTGCGGTAATAACTGTTACCTCTTGGCTCCACTGTTAGGTGTAAGTAAATTATGAGCTCCTACTTAGGGGCAAGCTCTCTTTTGTCTCATGTTGATATAGCAGCGTCCAGAGCCCCACATTAATGAGATATTTCCAGTTAATTGTTTCAACAAATTACCGGTAAACTTCTTGGCCATCTTAAAGATTTTCTGGTTTTGGGAGTTATATTCCCATAATGTAAGGTCGTAATGATTTGATCCAATGAATAAGAATTTAGGTGAGGAGAATTCGGGCGCATCTGTATATGGATTAATTCAACAAATTGATACCATTTTAATTATTTGTGTCCTGTTGCCATTTGGCACTTTCTCTTTGTCTTCATTTTAACATTTGCATCATCCTGCTTAATCTGGGAGATTCCAACAGTGGGGTGTACACTACATCTCGATTATGAGTTTTTTAGTTTGTTTAAAGAAACCGCTAAATTTTACACTATTGACGTAAAAAAATCCACACAGTTACGTAATTTACTTTTCCAACCAACCCTAGCTCAAAAGGAAATAAAACACCGTAAACTATGTAGGGTGCTCGAATTCGATTGTTATTTTGTTACACTTCCGTCATTTAGGGCACATTGGATATGGCACCTGGCTACATGAAAGCAATGTATCCCTATCATAATTCAGTATAGGTTTGTGTACTTGGCATTGACTTACATTATCTAAGGACGATTAACATTACAAAACTTCACCATCGAAGTATTCAGAATGAGGTTCAAACGTCTAATCTTATGGTCAGATGGTATGTCTTTTAACTACTGTGATGATAATCAGTAGAGATCCCTGGAAGTGCATTATATCTGTAGTGTCTAGACATCACCCACTAATTACTTGTTAAGTGACACATGTTGTGAACCAATAATCGCCACTCTCGTTTGAATTGGAATTGTTCCTTTTTAATGAAGCTTAATTACAATTATCATCTGATTCTGCATTTCCACCTGTAATAACCTGCTTCTGCCATACTTCGTTTGTTGCTATCATCACAATATCGCAAACACGACCATCATTTTAATTTATTATATATTTATTAGATGGGGACGGAGGTGTTTGAGATTTCATGTATTAGTTAACGTAATACCCTAGAATTATCAAGTTTCTGATTTGTTCGATTTTCTGTTTGTTTGTATTAAAATATTCCACAGCTGAACTCGACGAAGTTTACAAACTGGGCCAACTATTGTCACGAATACTCACTGTTAACTGCTTCAGTCTCTCCAACTGCATATAGAAATGGAGACTTTTGCATTATACATTTCAGAAAGGCTGGGTACGGATGTTGTGGCTGTTCGTCTACTTTTATCCATGTTCATGGGTTTGTTTATCGGCATAGCTCATTTTCGTTATTAACTTTTTTGTTAGGTTATCCTATCGCTTTTATATACAACATGAAGGAAAGCTCGTGGAAAATTTCCTATCGACATCTTTATTTGTTTACCTGTGGTGTCCTTTTGTTCCTGTGGAATTTTGGTAGATTCATGTTGTCTTTATTGTCTTTACTTCTAGGATTTGATATTGTGCATATGTTTGTTGGGATTTTCGCGACACTGTTTGTTAATTATTTGTTTATGCACTCAAGAACTGCCGTCACATTTGCTTTCGTGTTTAATATGGTTTGTTTGCAAATAAATTTTAATCGCTATAAACTAAAAGGGATATTTAATTATCGGCTCTCATATATGTAACCGAGGTACCTATGATATAAATTGGACAACACCGTATTGTGTTCTTTGTTTGCGAATGATTGGACTATCATGGGATTTGTATGATGCATCTAAAACAGAAGTAAGTATCGGTCACCATGGGTTTTGGGATTGTTTCATTTTTTCAAACTATGGTAAAGTAAATTTCACTTAGTATAGCTACGTTGTCAGAATTTGGACTATATTGGGTTTGGGATATTAAAATGTTTGAAATTGCAAAAAGCCTCATGAATTTCTGGATTGGTTCATGCTCTTACATTTTCAACTCAAAATTTATAGTTTTAGTTTTTCACACTTCTTTTCCACGAATTACTGAAAATTAGTGGTGATAGGTCTCCCAAAAAATGCTTCAGGAATCTCACATGAAGTGGTCAGGATGTCGGTCCGTAGTACATCTGACGTCTCAATATATTTTGGCTGAAATCAGTATTTAGAATTCGTTATCACGAAATAGGATAGTGAACTGGCGGGTTGCTAAATATCAGCTTGTAAAATAAACTCTGGTTACCGGTGTTTATTTTCTTACTGCTTAGATAAGTTTTTAGGTATTAGCCCCCAAATGCCTTGGTACGCCCGAAAGTGGGGAGAGTCCTCTCCCTCTCGAAGTGCTCTCACATGGCCACGCGTATATAGTCTCTGCCAGGGAAGTCCTCCTCACTGCCTTCTCGTGGCGGGGGTGTTGTTTACGAAATCGAGAGGACGAAAAGCGAATATCCGGCGCTTTAACCGGGTCAGTGGACGTGGGGAGTCCACCTAAGGGAGTTGGGAAACCCTTATTTCAAGCCAATGGTGCACATGCGCTCCAGTACTCTGGGGGAACAAATGGCGTATGAACCAATCGTTGGCCACCGGCTACCATGAGACTGCATCTCCTTACGATGCTCCATTGCCTCGCGGACCAGAGCTTCAGGTCGAAGGCTCCGGGTGTGGCCCCCTAAGAAAACCACCTAATTCGGTTTGGGCACCCAGGCAGTATCACAGCCCTCACACATATCAAATGAGATCTGTGTGGTGCATATGTATTTGGTGCCTCCTTGTACCAATATCTGTGTCAAAATAAAATAAATAAATAGTAATCCAGGATAACATTAATTTTCCTTTTTTTGTGTTTTTTTAGAGTAAGCAAGTTTCAGCAAACCTAACATTTTTCATTCATGTTTATCATATGTCATGTGATTTAGTAGAGGGGAGAACAAATCACAGCACTTTATATTTTACTCACTGAGTCCGGAGAACAACTTCACTGATATCGATAATCTTGATCCAAATAGTGTTAATGGTGCACGCCTGAGACCATATTAGGTTTTAAATCTGGAATCTATACTTGAAGCATGTACTATATAATGAGCCATACAATATCTAGATGACGAGTTCTGAATGGAACAAAATGTCCACTCTAATTTCCAATTTCGACTACTATCAAAATTGTAACTAAGATAGTAGAATTTGAAGCATTTGGAGTCAAACGAATTAAATAAAGTTACTCCAAAAGCACTGATTTTAAGTCGGTTTCTAATACTACTATCCCTGTTATCTAACCATATTACTCAAATAATTCTTAGCTTTGTGATTTTGTGTCATTGGTTTTCAACTTGGTAGTTATGTACACATATCAAATCCACACAGTCATTCGTTGCAGGTTGACAACAATATCCAATTCATAAAACCACTTTTTATTCATACTTTTTTCCTGTTACCTTTGTCACGCAATCAGTTCTGCATATATTCTGGCAATCGTACTCATGCAGCATCTTGCTATTTGTTTTCGATTTATTATTTAAACACAAAAGAAGGTATAGGGAGACACCAACTATATATGCGCCACACTTCATTCTATTTGTTTGAGGGCTGGAATACTTCCAGGGAGCCGAAACCGAAGCAGGTGGTTTTTTAGGGGGCCACGCCTTTGACCTAGAGGTCCAATCCACAAGGCAGGGGGCAATATTAGATGCAGTCCCATGGCAGCCAGTAACCAACAATAGGTTCATACTCCATTTTCCCCCTCAGGATTGTGAAGCCCATTTATTTATTTATTTATTTGAACACATAAATATTGGTACAAGAGAGCGCCAATATATATGCGCCACACAAAACAATGGGAATTCGAAGAGAAGTAGAAAGAAAAAAAACTAAGGAACGCAAAAGAAAGAGAGAGTAATGACGAAGAGGTACAATCAGAAGAAATCTTTCAGTTAAGGAAGATACAACCACTTTTTATGAAGAAAGTAAAAGAAGGTTACAGCAGGATCGCCACTGGCTTCTATTCTGAGCCATATCTGATAACGTCTCTAGCCACTGTGTAGCACCATCTCTCGGACCCCAGCCAGGGAGTCGTGAAGGACCAACACAAGCCAGTCCTTTGCAGCTTTCTTTCATGCCACGACACCATGTCATGCACTGACCACCTCTCCGCTTCTTCCAACCAGTCCCAGAGTCGGCAAATAATGCACGACGTGGAATTCTCTGGGACGACATTCGGAGAACATGTCCAAGCCACCGAAGTCGGTGTTTCAAGATGGTGACACCAATTGAGTTATCATCTCTGTGCCCGAACACACGATGCCGAACCTCTGCATTACTGACTTGGTGTTGCCACTGAATGTCAGCAATCCTTCGGAGACAACGATGATCGAACACAGAGAGTCGTCTAACGTCCTCAACTCGGAGAGGCCAGGTTTCACAAGCATAGAGCAAAACTGCTCTCACCGACGCGTTGTAGATCCGGCCTTTTACAGCCAGACTAACATCACGAAGGCGCCAAAGGTGGCCCAGATTGGCATAAGCCGCTCTGGCCTTCACTATTCGTGCATTGATCTCATCACTCACACCCCCACCAGCACTTATGCAGCTACCCAGATACACGAACTTCTCGACTACGTCTATCTGCTCACCATCCAGGGTGAGTACAGGATTGGAATCCTGCCAGTCTTGTAGAAGTACTTTGCACTTCGAAGGTGCAAAGCACATACCATACCTACGGACATTGATTGCCAACTGATTAAGTGCGGATTGCATGCCTTGGGCATTATCGCACAGTAAGACAATATCGTCCGCATACTCAAGGTCGAGAAGTCTTTCTCCAGGCAACAGATCCACACCACCATTACTTACATTCATCAGAGCTGTTTCCAGAATGTCATTGATGGCAAAGTTGAAGAGGAATGGCTGTATACTTGTAGTCATAAGAGAGCATTCGAAAAGGGAGAGCTGACTCTCCTCACTCTCGATTGTACCAGGGCATTTATATACATATATTATGGCACATGTTTCTTTTTTTGATTTTGGTAAGTTTTGATCCATTCTGGCACTAAATGGCTCGTCGATTCGTTGAACAGTAGTTTTCAGTAAAATACCAAACATTCATTCGATTCATTAAAGATGCATCATATTGTTAGAGTAATCAAGGGGATTATAGTTAAGGATACCTGTAAGTGGTTCATATGTTCACATATCTAAAACTACCAGGATATTAGAGTATGGGAGTTTTAACATTTTGATAAAACAGTTTTCATGTAGTCTGTCTGTAAGTTAATGGCGATACCATACAGAAATAGTTGTAAGGTAATCCTTTTACTTACTACAGCGTTTTTGCTGCAACGTTTTACAGATTTTTATTTTTAAGCTGTTGAAACGTCAGAGTTAATACTAGTTAGCGAGTACCATTCCAACTAAATATGAATTTGCCTTATTTTCTCTAGAGTCAACGTTCGGTTTCTCAACGAAAGTCAGCTTTATCTAAATTTCCTGGAGTATTGGAGACATTAGCTTTTTCTTTTACTCCAACAGCTTTTCTTACTGGACCCCAGGTGAGTAACTTTTTCTGTCAGTCGATTAAAGTAAATATATTTCGATCCGATTATTATTAACGCCTATCTGATTCGCTTATGTAAATCCGTTAAATGATGCTTATATCCTACTGCTCAGACTACTGTTCATTAATTGATTCTTTGTTAAATACTGAGTATTCTTTAGGTATAATCATTAAAATCGATAAATGTTGAAGCGATCAGGATAACATTATTTGATGGCTCCGTAGTAGTTTTTCCAGAACGTTATGCCGTAAGATTTATATTCTCAAATTAAATTTTACTGTTTCATTTCGACAGTACAAATGATTTTGTATTGTCGATAAATATGATATGATTGACAGAAAACACTCATTTTCTTTTAAAATAACGTGTATCAAGCTAGCTAATTATTCTTTTGTATTGAATTGAGGCATTTTTAGTAGCTGTGTTAAAACTTTCACTAGTTCGTTACGCAACACTGTGCACCAATTGTTATTATGTAGAATGACAATCTGAGCTGCACTATCAAACTAGTTAACCCAAAAAATAAGCAGTCTGTTTATTTTGTTGTTAATATCATGACTAAGAAGTTATGCTCATTATACTTGGAATCAATCTGATTGCCTTCTTGTAGTTTTCAGGTTCAAACTTTTTTCCAGCTGCTTAATGTTACTAGTTTCCTTATGTATTGTGTGACTCAAATCTAATTCTACTAACTTGTACTTATTAAACCTCAAACGGTTAAGCTGTAACCATCTTCCCTCTAGAATACTCATAGTATTTTGCAAGTGGTTACTCGGTGTATTAAGATAATCGGTTGGATTATTTAACGGTTTTTCCAGCTAAATGCCTCTTCTCTATTATGCCAATTTACTTATTGTAACTTCATATAGTCGCTTGGTTATAAATTGTACTTCACCAATTAAGTAGTTAACGAATATATTGTACGAATGACCCTAATTTACTTGGCTTAAAAACAAACTACAATGGGTTAGTTTTTTAATGTTCCAAGGAATATTCACTTAATGTGCTACATCTATCCACATGGTAATTTAATATTTCTAACCAATGAGAACCAACTTGACATCACAAAACATTTGGTTTAACACTACTACATCAGTGACAGGTAAAAAAAAGCGTTTTATAACTCATTGAAATATACTTCCTACCTGCGATTATGGTATTTTTGTTTATATTTTAAGTTTCCCATGCGACATTTCCAAGCATTCATTGATGGATCATTAAGGCCAGTAGTCCACTTAAGAAAGAGCACATTTAAACACCGTTTCATCTATAATACCAAGTAAGTATTTATGTTCGTTTTATTTTAACATTTTTTTCATTGTCATTGACGACATAGCATTTGTTGTCCGTTAAATCCTTTAGTCTGAATAAATTTATTACAATTTGTGCCTTAACTATCTCGATTTCATTACTAGATTTAGTGTCACCAGCTCTCACACATAGTATTGTTCAAAATAGAGTGAAGAGGTCTGTTGTTAGTTACCGAGTTGCGTAAATTGATTTTAATAACTAATCACAACTCAGTAATAAATTAAACTTGGGTACAATCTATGCAAATGTGAAAAATATGGCTGGAATATGTACTCTAAACGTTTAATCATACATATGTAGCAAAGGCTTTGTTGTGTATTAATATCATTAAACAACGTATTCCATAATGCACATCTCATTCGTTTTAAAACTTCAAGTGTACATGCGTCTAAACCATTCACAATCTGTCAGTATCACTAAATTTTAAGTCATATATAATTAATAAATATATGAATTATTGTATCTTGGATTCCTCTAGTTGTAAGTTTTGGTTTGACGCACAAACCGTTGTTGTATGCTTCACATATCGCAAGTTATTATCAATTAAGTACAGACATATCATATAGTTGTTTTCGACTTGCGGTTTACATACTTACGTCTGTTACTCCTTGTGGAGGAGCATAGACTTTTCACCATCATTCCCCATCCAACTCTGTCCTCGGCAATCCTTTCCAGTTTTTTCTAGCTGCTGTTCATCCCATTGATGTCTGTAGTGGCTTTGCTTCGTTAATCGATCACCCTCGTAACCGTTATTATATAAGCCTCGACTGTTTGAGATCAGAAGGCAAAGAGAAGTGGCAATTACAGTGTATTAGCGGATAGCACAGATCACAAAGCTATAAGCACATTGAGCGTATTTCAAGCGTAGAGGCGAATAAGTATATGCAAGCAGTTACATAGTCAAATTGCATAAGGGCGCAGCAAGGCAAAGCAAAAGCTAATAATAATACATGGAGAGAAGGATAATTCATCGAGTGATATTTAAGCAATCAACACCTTAGCTCGAGTCCGTCATGTGATTTAGTGAGCATGACGGTACTGTTCAAATAACATTGTCTGTAAGTAAGTTAATAAAAGGGCTTAACCAGAATTAACCATGATCGATATTGATTGTATGATAGTTGCTATAGTCTGCTTCCGATACCCGACGCAGTGTGTTTTTGGGTGTTCCTCTTTTCCGTTCCCCCCTCAGGATTCCAATTTAACGCTTGCCTCGTGATGCAGTTCGATGATTTCCGCAATGTATGTCTTACCCACTTCCAACTCCTTTTCCTAATTTCCTCTTCATCTAGAAGCTCCTCCACGAGGAGTAACAGACGTAAGTATGTAAACCGCAAGTCGAAAACAACTATATGATATGTCTGTACTTAATTGATAATAACTTGCGATATGTGAAGCATACAACAACGGTTTGTGCGTCAAACCAAAACTTACAACTAGAGGAATCCAAGATACAATAATTCATGTATTTATTAATTATACAATAAAAGTATGGGTAATAATAACTTGTAGAAGAGTTCCAAAAGTTCAGCTGTGCTCAATATTTACCTCGTTAAGTCGATGGTGCACTACTATATCTTGTACTATACTCGATCTAAATCTCTCACTGCATCTTTAAAAAATCTAGACTTTGTCGTAGACCATTAAAAAAAGTTTTCGTAAATAGATTTTCTCCAAATGAATGTAAATTAATTATTAAATGTAGCTTGGGTAATTTAGAACGTCGTTAGTTGTTTTAATCAGCTTGCTGCTAATTTTCGTACTGTTTATTGACGTTATATTGGTTATTAATAATTTGCCTTTACGATCCACGTATAAATACATCTTGTAGAACAGAAAGTAATTTTCTAAACCTGCTCAAAATTAGGAATGTTTGGATGGATTATGGTGACAGTAAAACTATATACTATTTAAAGACGACTCAAGACAAATGCATAAATATAAAAGAAACAATGCAAAAAGGTATGAAGATAATTAAAGCTGAAATAGTGAAAACAACTGTAAAAATTAGTTTTTGTGCGCACATATATGGGTTTATATTGTTTATTACTAACACTTCTAAATTCCAAAAGATATGTACTCATACACCTTTCGGTAAGTTAGACTCATTCTTATGAATAATATCGAATAATAAGCTTCTGGCTGATTTTGGTCAACTACGTGTTGTGAAATGTAAAACAATTTACCTTCATATTACTCATGTTTTTTTTACCAATAAACGATTGTTCTAATATTGTTCAAATTCGTTCTCACTGTATCACGTGCATTCACTCTTCTTTTAGTTCTTAAGCTTCTGAATTACCCTATACGATTTTTTTATTCCACCAATTTATACTTTCTATATAAGAACTTTCGATCATTTGCAGTCTTAAGCCTCAAGCCAGACAATACCAAATGAATTTTGATAGAATAGTTTCATAGTATTTGGGCGCCGAGTTGATGTGAGACATTAAAGAGAAAGAACGTATTTGTAAAATTCAGGCAATGAATTTGAAGTAAACCCAACATTTCGCCTGGCAATCTGGTTCAAGCTTTTTCAAAGAAATATAATCAAACATCAAAATGATCGAATATAAATAGGTACATGGTTCTCCGGTTCACTGTATACTGAATATGTCATCCAATCAACGTTAACAATGTTTAAAGTAGGTATTTACATTAGTGTGTAAGAGACATGTGTGAAATGAAAAGTGTGTTAATATAACAGATTGTGTGTATACGCAAGTGAGAAGAAATTTCATTCACTATATATTGTCTCTGGTCGGTGAAGTTTAAGAAAATATATGATTTTTATAAATGATATGAATCGAAAATGTCGCAGCATGCATAAAATGAAGATAACTAAACAAGAAATTCACTTGGTATTGTTTACTTGAGTCAAAGAGGAAAAATGTATTTGTAACCGAATGTTTGTGTTATTTTAATGTTCCAGTTAATTATTTAACATATTCAGATAAGACAACTGACTGGAATCGTTGAATGTAATATCTGTTAATTAGTTAATACTAGATAGACAGAACGGAATAAGGAGTTCAGGTTTACTTATAAATTATTAGTTGCCATAGGACAGCTAGTTGTATTCCATCTCTCCTATTAATACTGTTTGGATTAGCCCATATATGTAGGGCTTCGGCTTTTTGTCTTTCTTTGTAAGAATTAACGCCTTTTTGAAGGACTATCGTGCCTTTGGAATCAATCGTATGACCCGACTCTATCGAGTGTAATGTTATTGCTGATTTGTTCTCTAGTTTTCTTACATCGTCTGAGGACTTACGAATGTCGTTTTTAAACATAGTTTGTGTTCCTTCGCCCCCACATCCAGTTGTTCTGATGTTTTGATCAAAACTAGTAAGAATCAAAGATCGAATACACAAGGAGGAGTAACGAAATTGTGTTTATGAAATCAAATGTAGTGAGTGTAATGCAACGTATGTAGGTGAATGCTTTAATTTTTACGAATACCTACTTTAAACATTGTTAACGTTGATTAGATGACCTATTCAGTATACAGTGAACCGGAGAGCCATGCATTTATTTATATTCGATAATCTTGATGTTTGATTATATTTCTTTGAAAAAGCTTGAACCAGATTGCCAGGTCCCAACCGTAGCTACTACCTTGACGCGGTGGTCGAACTTGCCTATCATGATGGCCCAACCGAGCTATATTGGCCGGAACATATGTTCCTGTAGGTTCTACCATGCCAGGCAGGTCGATTGGAGAACGGTAAGACTAAAAGCAGCAACTCGAGGTCTGAGGGCGAAGTCGTACTGCTGACTGTAGAGGGGTGTGATAGCAGTAAGGTGTTTTCCTCGGACAACTAGCATCTGCAGCGTTGTTGCCTTCTCACAAGGAAGGAAGGGGTTAGAAAAGGTTGACCCTAAAAATGTCACACCTCAACTTACCTCACGGATTTCCATCTCCGGCGGTAAGGCCCTTTGAAGAATGGAGCTAACACATCAAAAACCTTCCACGAAAAGACCTTGCGCGACCGGCCTCAAGCAGTTGTCCTTTGGGCTCTGCGGTCACACTCTCAGGTCGTTAAGATCAACACTAATCCAATTTCTTTTTCAGGTTCCTCAAGAAATACCGGGAAGTGACATCAGCCTCATACCCGTAGCAACACACGAGATCAAGTTGGTTACATTCAAGTCCTTCCTATATCTCCTAATAACTCTCTTATCTCCACGACTAACCCTTCTTATATTCCTTTATCACCTCGCGCCACTAATGCAAACGATTCGAGTACGCGAAACGTTATTCCCGATCTCCTGAAACCACGCTCTAAACTACATGTACTAGCTTTTAACGTCCGAACACTGTGCCGAATGGGACAACAGGTTTCCTCAGCTGGGGCTTCAGAATCTCGCGCTGTTGACGTATACTGCACCTCCGAAACGTGTATACTGGACCCGAGTAGCGTCATTCATTTGACCCCACCATATCAAAATAGAGAACCATCTCGATTCACGCTTCGTGTATCTGAAAGCCCTGATACTGCTTCCCGTGGCCTCGTTGGTATAGGTATAGCATTGAGTCCTAGGGCAGAACTAGCTATCTTAGACTAGATACCAGTAGACGGTCGTTTGTGCGCTGTCCAACTAAACGGAACAGTAAGGACTCGGAAAGATAGGGACACTCGTCGTTGCCCCTTTGTCGTGTGTGCCTATTCTCCCACTGATTGCAGCTCAGATGATGTAAAAGATGAGCTTTACAGAAAGCTTTCTGACCTCCTCATAAACGTTAGGCGCTCTGATGTAGTACTAGTGATTTCAATGCTCAAGTAGGTAAACTAAACGAAAAGGACAGACACCTGGGTATATCTTATGGTGTCGTGTCTCAAAGAACAGATAATGGCGACCGTCTGTTGCAGCTATGTTCAGATAACCGCCTGTTTCTTGCAGATACTAACTTGAAGCATAAGCGAAAACATCTTTTGACATGGCGGCTCCCGAATTCAACCGAACGTTGAACCCAAATAGATCACATCGCTATCAGCCACCGATGTAGGGGCTCGATAGAAGACTGTCGCTCATTCTGGAGCACATGCTTAGACTCAGATCATGCTCTAGTGCGAGCGCGAAATCGTCTGCTTCCTAATGGACGTAGGAAAGACAACGTAAAGATACCTCTCAGGTTCCTACTCAGTGATAGCCAAGCTAAGAATATATGCCAGGAACAAATAGAAAAACAGTTAGGCAGCCGTGTAAGTGACGCCCACCTCGAGGCAGCATGGATTGATATCCGAAAAGCTGTGGAAACAACAGATATCTGCTAGTAAGATAAATCATAAGGTTAGGTAGAAACACTGGATCTTAGCAGCATCTACCACATTGAAAGATGCTCGAAAACTCATTCCACCTGGCTCTAAACATGAGGAAGAGCGGAGTCAGTTTAAACGCAAACTGATAAGAAGCCTACGCAATGATCGCGAACAGTGGTGGGTAGCGAAAGCAAGACAGATGTAAAAGGCAGCGGCAATAGGCTACGGCAGATAACTCTTCAGACTTGTCAAGGGAACCGTTATTAGGAATCCTACTGTTAACGAAACTATCTCGCAAAAAGACGGATATATTATTCACTCTCAATCCAGGAGATTTGATCGATGGGCAGAACACTTTAGGGATCAGCTCAATTGGCCTTCAGTCACACTTCGGTTTCCCACGATCTCCAGTCGACCTAAATGGCAAGTTGATGCAAGTCCTCCAACTCTTTACGAACTTGAAAAAGTTATAGGGAGAGTAGCAGGCCCTGACAGGTTTACTCCTGAGATTTTTAAGGATGGCGGTCCAGTATTAGCAATGAGATTAACCGAGGTCTTAGGTAGGATTTGGGAACTGGACGTAATCCCATCTGACTGATCTCAATCACTGATTGTGCCAGTCTATAAGAAAGGACAAAAGTCCTCTTGTGACAATCACAGAGGAATCAGTTTGACCAATATAGTGTCTAAAATATTAGCTTCAATAATACTTCGACGCCTTACTAAAGCTCCTGAAGAGCAGACTAGAGAAAACCAGGCCAGTTGTCGACCTGGACGTGGTTGTATAGACCAGATATTCACACTACGTCAGGTTCTAGAACAGAGACACACATTCAGACGCCCCACAATGGTAGTATTTCTCGACCTTAAGGCGGCATTCGACTCTGCTGATCGTGAGGTTCTATGGCAGTGTTTGTCACTGAAAGGAGTACCAAAGAAGTACATTAACCTTATAAAGGCTCTCTACTCGAACACAACTGGTAGAGTGAGAGCTTATGACGAACTGTCATCAGAATTGATTACATCAAGTGGTGTTCGTCAGAGCAGTTCACTCTCCCCATTCTTGTTCAACTTTGTGGTCGACGTACTTTTAGAGAAAACACTCTCCTCATCTAAATTTCAAGGGGTTGAACTTTCACCGGGAGGTTCACTTGTTGACTTAGAATATGCAGATGACATAGTTTTATTTGGTGAAGACTGACAAAATGCAGAGTCTTCTGACCACTCTAAGCAACAATGCAAGCATGTTCGGGATGCGATTCTCCCCCTCGAAATGCAAAATGTTGCTTCAGGATTGGGTTGCATTGACACCCATACTAATGATAGGGAGTGAAGTAGTTGAGTGTGTCGACCGCTTCACTGTTTCGGAAGTCTCATCAGCCCTTGTGGTTTGGTGTGTGACGAAATCTCAGCACAGATGCAGAAGGCTCGACTAGCTTTTGCCAACTTGCGTCATTTATGGCGTGGGCGAGACATCCATCTATCAACCAAAGGAGGACGTGTTTACTGCTCAGCAGTTCGTTCCGTCCTACTTTATGGCAGTGAAACATCGTCGGTAAGAGTGGGGGGTATTCGTAGGTTACTAGTATTTGATCATAGGTGTCTTCGAAAGATTGCTCGTATCCTTGGACCACCAACTAGGTAATTCAGTTGTTAGGAAACGGGTACTAGGTAAGGATGGCAAATCAATTGATGAAGTAGTGAAACTTCATCAGTTGAGATGGCTGGAACATGTGTTACGTATGCCCAACGACCGACTGCCCCGACATGCGATATTTTATGGTGTAGGAGTAGGTTGGAAGAAAGTTAGGGGCGGCCAAACCAAAACATGGCACAAATCCATGAAGTCATTGACTAGTGGACTAAACCATGTTGGTAGATGTAGACTATCTGATTGGGATCCGCGAGACGATAGCAACCGATGGTTAGAGACCCTGAATGACATGGCTCAAAATCGTTTGCAATGGCGCAGGTGTATCATCCACTCTTTGTGTTCTCCCAAATTCTAATCTCCTTAATTTTTATGTCCTTTTTTCCTTTTTCCAAATTTATTTCACCGTATTACACTCTTTCAATAACATCTCCAAACCCTAACCTTCCCGATTACTGCTTATACTCTTATTACCTCTACCACTACGGGATTTGAATCGACAACTGTATCTCTGTGCTAATGTGGTGTGGCAACTCGAACTGATGTACGTACGTACGAAGTTCTACGTTGTTGCTGACCGACTGACTGAGATTGCCAGGTGGAACGTTGGGTTTACTTCAAATAATTGGCTGAATTACACAAATATATTCTTCCTCTTTAATTTATTTTTCCCAAATCTTATCTCTATTACCTCTACGTTTCTGGAATTGGTCCTGATAATTTCATCTGACAATGTTAATGTAGTATGACAACTCGAACCTATGTACATGCGAGCCAGGTTCTACGTTGCATAAGATTGATCGACTGATGAACAATCCTTAAATCACAACTTTTTTAGTCAGTTTGATTTTGTTATGATACGTGTTACTTAATTATACTCCTTATGTGTAACAGGTTCCATCGGACATTGAATCGCTTGGTATTGGGATATTTTGGCGTAATTGTTTTATCGAAATGGTTTGCAATGTACCCTGCCGATAAAATGTTAACTGATGAGTTTCAATATGTTAGTTTAACTGCACTTTGAATATACGATTAAATGGTTTATGTATGTTATTTCATATACACATGCTTTATGAAGTTGGGTTATTTTCTAATCTATTTTATTTTCTTCTGAAAAGTTGTCACTGGTCTTCAATTTCATTTGTCTAAATTAAACTACCCCATCACAAGATTCTGGCGGAAAAATCTTATTCAAAACAGTTATCACTGTAAATTATTGATTTTTTACACTTAGTTTCATGTTATACCGTTTCAGAGTAAGTTTATTCGAATAATACATACAGAAGTAGCAAATATCTTACACTAAGATTGCAACAAAGGACTACTATTTTCCTCTTGTGACGATTGTTTTGTACGGTTTCAATATCTTATTCTAATCATCTGCAGACATTCTTTGTATTATATTATAACGCTTACAAATTATTTTGTTTTTGGCGGTATCTTGGGAGGGTAGAGGTTCGTTACTCAAATAAATGACAGGTGGAGTTTCGTTCTCCGAATTGTATGTTTTAATCATGAAGCGTTCATTGCTCTTCTGGAAAACATAATCAGCACAAAATGTAGGTGAAGGTGAACTATTGGAGTCTTCCCAAATATGTCTGAGTTTTTCCCGTCGACCGTTCTCTTGCCTGGATATTTGTTTTGATTGTCTTCCATTTTGTCAACAATAACCAATCAAGATCGAGATCTACATGACAAGCTATTAGTTGTATATGGAGGAATTCGAATGACTTACTTCTGTTTGAATTTTGTACTAATTGTGTTGTTCAGAAGAACAGTGAGAGCCTCACAATCGAAAATTCCAATCTAGAGAAGAGAGCTTCATAAAAATTGGCTGTATCTGTTTCGTTAGTATTATCAGCCCGTTAATAATAAAAGTTTTGATAGTTGAATTAAATCTTTCAACTTCAACTGTCACGTCGCAATTTCTCATAATTGTTAATCTATTTTGATATGAGTAGTTGAATAATATAATAAGGTTTGCAATAAAATCCACCTTTAACCTGGTTACAGAAATCTGCTTTTGTAAAAATGTTAGATAAAGATTTAATACTTTTAAACCCTTCAATATTTATGTTTAGCTTCTCTTGTACTAAATTTTAATGGTTTTCTATCATAAAACAAATATACATTTTGTTATAGGAGCTGCTTAATCCACTGAAACATTTACAACCATCAACTCACTGCAGGCTGAAATTTTAATAATTATTTTTTCGAGAAGTATCTTAAACGTAGCATGTTTAGCTATAGATTAATGACGTAGATCCTAGGACAAGAGCTTTTATCTCTCAGTCTACTTCCAGTCTAGCACAGTAAACAAACACGAAGAAAAGTGAAATATACAAAACCAATGCAATACATGGAAAATAAGAAAAATGAAAATTGGGAAATTCAAAATACGAAATGGAGTGGATTGCACGTATCAACTTCTAAAATTACCCTTATTAATTAGAACTATGGGAAGGAGAATTACTACCACGCTAGTAAAATAAATTGAGTAATTTCTTTTGACGTTCTTACCATAAATTTCGAAACATCGTGGGTATTATAGCATGTACGTATTAAACTGGAAGTTATTCTTCGAGGATTTTTATTGTGTCGTATCAGGTTTCTGTATTGATTTTAACATCTTTTACAAATGTTGGTTCTGATTAAAATCATTTCAGTTTCATTCATTTCATTAGCTTAAAATATTTCACACATGTACTTCTGGCACATATTTAGCCTCCAACTTTTTGTCCAATGTACTAATTTTATTCTGCTGTTAAAGTTGACCTATATCTGTTTATTTATCCTGTGATTTGATTTAAAACTTTGAGTTCACTCACAGTTCTTATTTATACTCATCCATAATTTGTCGTACAAAAATCTAGTCGAATAAATAATTCCATTTTAATACTATGTGTACATTTTTTCCTCATTTATTTGCTTGAGGTAAATTCTAAATTCAGGTTTATGGTCAATGGGAAATCAGTTCATTGATTTGTTTGTTAATGAAAGTCTATCACTCAAGATGGTTTGTAGTGATTTCGTATAATTTGATGGCAGCTTTCATCAGAGCCTGGGATCATCTAGGAAACCATTGTAAACCAGGTAGAACTAGATGCCTATTTCAGTGTAGTTTGCGACTTTACAGTACCGTACAAACCCACTATCCTGCATATGAGGTTGAATTTCGGACATTCAGATCTCGGAATAAGGATGATACATTCAAACTTCTAAGTCAAAATACGGTAGTTTACGCTTCTAATTTTATGTTAAAATTTAGTCAGTTGAGCGCCAATCATTTTTTAATGATAGTTTTGTATCATGAATTGACATAACAGTTAATTAACAATTAAGCTATATATATTAGCATAGCTAAAGATGGATTATAACTTTGTACATCCTTAGATTAGCAATTAGTGGTTAGCCGTATGATTTTCAGCCACTAAGTTACCAGTTCGAAACTCTGTCCACCTACCATGGTTTTGGTGATCAGTTAATAGCACTGGTCATTAGAACTGGGGTTGTGTCTCAAAGCCAAGTGTGCGAATCTATCTATGGTAAATAAGTTGATAGTAGTATATGTACGTAGTTCATATGAAAGTTATAATAATTAACTGACTGCGCATGAATTCACGCTTTCATTTTTGCCTTTCATCCTTATACATTCGAATGACAATTTTGAATTTCTTTCATGCATATTATTAAGTGCTACTATAATTGGATGTGTTTTTATGTTTTTTTTTGTTGAGTAATTGAAGTACAAATCAAATCAGTATATTACTGTTTTTTTACTTTGTCATCCTTTATACTGTCACTTTCGTTATTGAAAACTTTGTTTGCAGGAATGGAGTTTCTTTTCACGTCTGCTTTACATGATGATATTTGGACAGTTAACGTTATTACGTTATGTATCAATCTGGCTAATAGCTGTAAGCCTGAATTTTGTGTTACTTTAATAATGATTATTTTCATTGAGATCATGAACCGATGAATGTTAGACCACCACTGTAGGCCTGGGAGGACTGGAAGGCCGTTTCGTCTTAGTATTGGACTCCTAGTTTTAAATAATTCGACAAATTTATTGTGTCTAGTGTACACGTTTGCAACTAAAGTGTTTCGAAATTTGTTCACTAGCATATTTCGTCAGTTTACTATGATAATATCATGGACATGACAGTCTGTAGTCATAACTGGTTACTTCACCATAAAAATTAAATTGACCACCTTGGTAGTGGGAAAAAGGTCAACTTTTTATGATGTTCGCTGCTTACTTTTCACGAAGAGTTTTATCCTGTATTCTGCTAATTAAGTAGCATGTTGAACCATAATTAGAAAAGCAAACAGATATCTTGAGTATAGTCTTTGTTGAAGTGAAGTGTTTTTTGAATACATCTTATTGAATTTTCTGTGGTTATTGTTGTTTTTAGTATTCGGTTACAAGGTTTCTCAAATTAACACTAAAATCCAAGGGTTACTGAGCAGCACAGTATGTTAGACCCAAGTTTTCGATTGTAAAGGAATATGCCGGGTGAGGGTGAACTTTTAAAATTAACACAATTTGATTGGTAAGTATTAGGAGCTACCTCTGTATATTAAAAGATTTGAAGTCACTGTGATATTCTCCTATTAAATCTGTTCAGAATCTATCAGCGGTACATAAGCTTCTCTTTTTATTTGAGTGCAATTCATTTCTAGCATATGTACTTAATGTGATGTATATTTTTGGTTCACCTATTCTAGTTTACACGATTTAATGCTACTTCATTTTACGAAAAGCCTGTTTTATCATTATTTTCTCCTAAAGGAAGGTTCTTGTGTTTTAATTGGGCTTGGATGTACTGGTTTTGTTCATATTAGATCTAAAGGATCTATTCAACTTCCCGATTTTATAACAAATAAGGATTCTGACACGGTTACACGTGACGGTCCTGTTTTAAAACGTCGGGATTCTGCTGTGGATTGGTCTCTTGTAGAAAACTATATCAAATCCCATGCAGAACTTTATGATCCTGAACAAGTGATAGTACGTGAAGCTCCTCATACAGCCTGTGCAAATATCTCTTTAAAACGATATATTTTCGCAACAAATACTGACGATCTTGTCGCTGGTTTCAACATCAATACCAACAGATGGCTTTTAGAGTAAGTTTGTTGTCTTTTTACATTTATGAAATACTGAATCGACAGTCTGTGTATAAATGAACAGTAATTATTTATTGTTTTGTGTGAAGATATGTAAAAATGGTTCTTAAGATATCACATATTTTGGTACCAGCCTAAATGTATCGAATGCTTTGTAAGTAGATCAGAGGTTTTGTTATTTCTGTATTTCTTTTAATGTAAAAGGCTTTTATGAAAAACTAATTATCATGATTGATGATATCTATTCTGTTTTATTATTACATATCATGAAATTAGTATGTGTGGTTTTTGGAGCTAACTGTCTAAAAGTGATAATTTTAATTGTTTGGCTATGGTATTTGCTGTCAAATAGTCAAGGATACTATTGGTAAATTGAACATGTATGATTTAATTGCGTTTCGTATCAAATTCCTTTTCTTTTATTTCGTCAAATATGATGCTCATTTTTATTAGTAGTCTGGAGTGTGTATCGTAAATGGTCTGTAAAATCAAGCATCTTGTGTTGTTCATTACCAGTCAAACATTAACGTCAAACTATTCGGATTCACCAATTTACATCTTTTATTCTATATAATAAATATGTGATGTGCAAACTTTATAATAATTCATATGATGTACCCTAACTATCACATTTTCTCTTTTACGCAAAATAATTCACTACTGTTGTGATTGTTTTTTTTACATCTCGTTCTTTATTCTACAATGTGAACTGTTACACTTCTCTAGATATGTTGTTCTTCCAGAATAGTAGAGTATGGGATTGGGTACTATCAAACAATCACTGGCTACTATGGTCTGTGCTTAGACCTCTCTTGACTCCTTTAGTCCTTGATAAAAGGTCATTCTATTCACAAAGAAATCAAGCTAATCACTAGAACAAAAATTTCCCGTCAAGGTGATATTTATTGAGTTATTGTAAAAAGTCATTCTGTAGCTTTGAGATTTCATAGTCATCCAAAATTTGGAATGATAATATTGGAGTCTAAGACCTGCTTATTTATTGTGTAGTCATAAATTCGTCAAAAAACGTATACTTTATTTGTCATATTTAGGATCCATCTTTTAAGTATTCTAATCACGCTGTTATTAGGATGAATAAGATTTCCAAAAGCTTTCAAACAGTTAATGAGGAGTAGATCTGCCAATTTTGATGTTTTTTGTCAAACCAAAGTTTTTTCTTGAGAAAATGCTTTCTTTGTTAGGCATCTCTGACTCGCATAGAGAAAGATCTACATGCCAATCAGTAGAAGTTGATATAATAGTGGTAACTAGTGGATAATTATGTCATTTAGAAATTCAGGAAAGGCTTCAAACATTGTACCCCAATGAAATTGATATAAACAGCTTCATCTTTCTTAAAAAAATAGTTAAGATCTAGAATTTAATATAGTTGTTTTTATAAATTACTCAAATACACTATCTTCTGACGTCAATACATTAAAAGACCTATTTTTCAATAGACACGTATGTGTTTGTGTGCATTTTAACTGCTGTGTTTCTCCGTGCATTTCGTAATCGTTTTGTGGGTATCGGTAAGAGTGGGTGATTAGCCCGATCTTCACCACCCGGGTTACCGCTGACGTTAGTTCATGAGTCATTCGTCCCATTATCCAGGAGGCACGACGCGGATGTGTGAGTCGGTTTGCACCATCCGTGTCTTTTTTGCTTCGATTTTTAATGCCTCAAATATTTTCAATCCCAAGAAATATCTAATTAATTACATTTAATATGTATGTGTGTTTCTGTTCACAACTAAAAATGGTGTTTAATTCTTTTGGTGTTCTCAAATATTTAGTAGTCATTAGTTCTTAAATTGTAATTAGATTCTATTTGAGTGTATTTTTAATTTTACTTTAGTAGTAGTACGATTGTACCGTGTAAACTTGTTGGCATAGAAATACAACTGACGGCAACCTAATTCGCTTAGACTGTTTTTTTCAAACTAATCATGGACAGTTAAATGTTCATGGGGTTATGTAATACGGTTACTTCATTTTTGTGAGGCATTGATATAATACGTAGAAAACAGGCACAAACATCCATACCTTATTTTTCAGCGTCTTCATAGTTATCCGTCAAATCGAAAATGATCATTGAATTTGTTTGTATACTTTTGGCTAATAAAACATTGATACTAAATGTGTCTGTAATTATTACTTATTTACGCCTGTTAATCCTCGTGGAGGCCACCCACCAGTACTCTCCATCCAACCATTTCCTGGGCAATACTTTCCAGTTCTTTTCAATTGTTATTCTTTTCATATCTGCTTCTATTTCCCAACGTAGTGTGTTCTTTGGCCTTCCTCTTTCCCGTTTCCCTTCAGGATTCCAATTTAACGCTTGCCTCGTGATACAGTTTAATGATTTCCGCAATGTATGTCTTATCCACTTCCAACTTCTTTTCCTAATTTCCTCTTCATCTGGAAGTTGATTTGTTCTCTGCCACATCAAGTTATTGACGATAATATCCGATCGACGAACATTGAGTATCGTACCTGGACAACTGTTTATAAATACTTCTCCCTTTTGACGGTGGTTGTAGTAGTTCTCCATGTTTCAGCTCCGTACAATAGGACTGCACTGATGTTTGCATTGAAGATTCTGACTTGGATATTGGTTGACAGTTGTTTTGAGTTCCAGATGCTCTTCAGTTGTAGGAATGTTGTCCTTGCATTGTTGATTCTCGCCTTTACATCTGAATTAGATCCTCCATGTCCTTCGGTGATGCTTCTCAGGTACATGAAGAATTCCACGTCTTGGAAAGCTTCTCTATCAAGTGAGATTAGGTTGGTGTTCTCTGTGTTGTATCTGAGGATCTTACGCTTTCCTTTATGTATGTTGAGGTCTACTGCTGCAGTGGCTTCTGCTACATAAGTTGTCTTCACCTTCGTTTGTTCGTGTGTATGGGATAAAATGGCCAGATCATCTGTGAAGTTCAAATCGTCCAGTTAATTCCGTGATTTCCCTCAGATTTGTAGGTCTACAAAATACAATCGACCATCAGAAGAAAGAGGAAGGGGGACAGTAGACAGCCTTGTCTGACTCCGGTCCTTACTTGGAATGCATCTGTCAGCTTTCCTCCATGCACGACTTTGCACTGTGGTCTGTCGTATGAGTTCCGGATAATGCTGACAACCTTATCAGGAACTCCGTATGTCGGAGAAGTTTCCATAATGTTCTCCTATCTACACTGTCAAGAGCTTTGTCATAATCAAGAAAGTTGATGTCTAGTGGCGAATTCCATTCAATTGATTGTTCAACGGTGATCCGTAATGTCGCGATTTAGCCTGTGCACGACCGATCCCTACGGCATCTGGTCTGTTGATCTCGAAGTTGGGCGTCTGCTGATTCCTTCATTCAATTAAGTAACACTGTTGAAAACTTTTCCTGGTACCGACAGTACTGTGATACCTCTATTGTTTTCAAATCTGCTCAGATCTCCTTTCTTTGGTACTTTGACGAGGTATCCTTGTTTTCAGTCTGTCGGCGGCACTCGTTCTTCCTCCCAAATTTTTCTGAATATAACGTGATGCATCTCCGCAGTTACTTTCATATCTGACTTCAGTGTTTCGGCTGGTATATCGTCAGATTCTAATCTTTTCTCGCTCTTGTGGACCAGACCGTTAAATCAAAGACTCTGGATGTGGCCCCCTAAGGAAACCACCTGCTCCGGTTTGGGCGCCTGGACAGTATCATAGGCCTCACAAAAACCTAATGACAAAATGTGGTGCATATCTATTTGTGTTTATGTGTTTAAATAAATAAAGTAGTACTGAGCCCCGGGTCAGGAGCCGCACTGATTGGTGTGATTCCTATTAACAATCATTTATGTGCTGTTAGATTAGAAAGCTGGGTAAAGGTGAGAAGAGATTGGTAAAAACCGCTGTTTCTTGATAATCCACACTCAGATCGATTTCATCCCGAACTCAATCAAATGTGAGTTCTGCCGTCAATCAAGTGATCCCAAGAAAGTGCGTTCGAACGATACTGTAGTAGTAGCCTGAAATTTGAATGCGAAAGCCGTGGAAACTGACTGAGTTGTTGAGTTGCTGACACTAGGATAAAGTGGAAACTGCAGAGATTTTGACAATTTATGATAATGTACCATAGTACGAAAGTAAGCTGGATGTAACCGGTGCATATTGGTCCATTACGACTCCTTAGTTAGAGTCCAAGAGACAATGAAACTCATTGACCTTAGATATTATCAGACATGATTCACAGTAGAGGTCGTTGTCTATGCTTCTGTAAATTTCCTTTACATTCTTTAAGATAAGATAATTTTTGTTCACATTTTTAGCCTACCTGTATTCTATTGTATACTATTTTCTTTCTAACTAAGTTTCTTTTTATTTGTTTATAGTATTTTCTCTCTATATATATGGAGCACATTTTTTGGTTTTGTGTGACTCACTATGAAAACCACCTACTTCGGTTTGGGCACTTGGGCAGTATCACAGCCCTCACACAAATCATATGAGATTTGTGTGGCGCATATTTATCTGGTGCCTCCTTGTACCGATATCTATGTCTTAAAATTAATAAAAAATGATAATAAAAATGGTGATCTGAAGCTATGTCAGTACCTCTTCTGGTTTTCACGTCTTCCATTGCCTTCTGACCTTTGCAGTAATGCAAATATGATTTATCTGGTTCTCCGCGGTGTGGTCTTGTGAGATCCATGTAGCTTTGTGTATGTGTCCGTGTGCGAATTTTGGGTACATAGATTTACAAGTCTATCACCGTTCTTGTTTCTTTCTCCCAGTCAGTCGCTGTCATTCCATGATATCTTCATATCCGTTGTTGTTCGTTCCGACTTTGGTGTTTAGATCTCCCATCAGGATGGTGAGGTTTTTTCTTAGGCACTATGATTGACTGCAGCCTATCATATAACTGATCTTTATTGTTGTCGTTGCTATCATTAGTGGGTGCATAACATTGGATAATATTCATTGTGATCCCCTCCTTCTTTGTTTTGAATGATACTTTGATGATCCTGGATCCGTGAGATTCCCATCCTACAAGTGCATTTCGTGCTTCCTTGGACAGCATTAGAACAACTCGCTGAACGTGCTGAGCACTTTCTTCCTCGTGACCAAAGTACAACAGCATCTCCTGGATCTATCCTTTGCTATTCAGCTTGAGTTCAATGTGTTTCGCTGATTCTGCGCACCACCGATTTGTATATCCTCATTTTCGTTGCTTTTTGACTGGTCGTCCTGGTCTCCCACATTGTCCGTACATTCCATGTACCTATAAAATTTTTGCTCTGTTTGTTAGAAGGGGCATCGGTCTCGTGACTTCCTAAGAATCTCGGCTTTTATCATAACGCGTCATTATTCTTCTTTCATCTCAGATGGCAGAGTTTAAATGGTTTGATTTGTTTAATCTGGATGGCGTTATTTTAGCGAGATTGTTTTCTACGGAGTGGGGTTGCTGACCACATGCCCAACCTTCCTCTTTTACCAGAGCTTGGGACCGGCAGTAGCTGTAGAAGAGCTACAGGTGGAGTTTCTGTAATTATACTATCTCTGAAACGTTTTTGCAAAATTGATATTACTCACTATGAGATGACGTATTACTGGGCTTTATTTTGTCGGAGTACACCTGTTTGTGATCAGATCAATAATATATCACAGATATATGTATTTATTCATTACATAAGCCGGTAAATTTTTAATCATGTTATCGTCAAGCTGACAGAAGTTAATTATTTAAAATGTTGGTCAAATTTGTTTCATTAGTGTTTTAGTATGTTCATTCTTTATTTAATTCCTAATGTTTAATATGCTATTATCTTAGTCTTATTTACGTTCTCTCTTTTTATATTCTAGTTAATTTGTACTTGTATATACTATTAGGTGAATACAGGAAATAATCATAGTTAGGGTCAGTATCAAGAGATTACGATATAGTTTTGTTTATGGGATAGACGTCCTCTAGTAAAGAAAAATATCTCGAGAAAGTCTACCGTGGTTTCTATAATCCTTGTGTTGATGATATGAACTGATGATTCTGTCTGTGATCTCTTAGTTGGTTGTCTTAGAGAATAAATGTCATGTGATTTACATTGATTCGTCTGTCTATCTGGTGTTGATTTCGTGAGTCATGCTTTTTTCCTTGAGTACTCAGGAAAGATGAACCAGTTGTAGAGTATTACGTTAGAAAACACTTATGGGTGCGCATTGTTGTGGAGTTTAAAAGTAGAACGAAACGGCTGTCTAGATCCTCCTCTTTTTTAATAGTTTCACGTCTGATATCAATCCATAGCGAACATCGTCATCTCATTAAGTTAGTCTTTACAACCAACTGAAACTGAAATATCTCTAAATTAATAACACATGTGCTTCATTTGAAGATATGCTATTGAGTAGAAATGAAACTAGGTTGTAATTCTATTAAGAAATTGTATTCCTATAGCATTGTTACAAGTTTCTGTTATATTTGTTGATTGTGTTTTCTAGTTATGTTTATAAACGCTTACGTTTCTTGGGCAATAAAAATTTATCTCAAGTAATATCATTATTATTTTTGGCACTTTGGCATGGCACATACAGTGGCTATTATGTCAATTTTGGAATAGAATTATTAGTAGTGACAGTTGAAAAAGATGTAAGTTTTTTTGTTTTATTATACACACATTTTTATATGTTTCGCGATCTTGATTATTTCAATGCTCGGTTATTCAGTTAACTCTTTATTGAACTGATAAAGCCAATGTTTGTAGGATAAAGTAAAGTAGTATAGAGGTGTTACGCGGCGTGAATCTACGTAACAAATGTAGAAACAATTTAAAAAATAATATTTTCGCATAATATTTAAAACTCATATAAGTGAAGAATATTGTTGTCCTGAATACATATATATATATATATATCCTGTGGAACGTATCTAATATTGACTATGCTTACTTAGCGATTACGCAGTCAATATCTTAAAAACACCTGTGATCAAATTTGTACAGTCCACATACTGTGTTATCCACGTGCAATAATTATGTTACAAATATGTGAAGCTATACAATGTGAACTGTTGTAAAGTATTTTTTTATTTGACAGATAAGAAACATCATGAATCTCTGCCAGGATTCATCGGTCGCTCATCTTTAAGAGATGATTAAACTCTCAAGGTGATCTGATCAGCACATGCATCTTGGGCGAATGATTTTAAAAAGCATAAGGCAATGTTCTAATCGAACTGATCCTCTTTTTGCTCGCCAAAGGAAACTGTTTTTGCAAACTACAATAATAAATTAAGACTTATTTGAGGAGAGTATGGTTTAAACTTCAAATTACTCTAGATAGTATCACTATTTTCAATTACCACTGGTGAAAACTTTGCAGGTTCTAGTTACCTTGTTTCACATAGAATTAGTCACAATCTTGACTTTTCTAAAATCTAGCACTAATATATCATTTTTATATTCGTGTTTCTGGTATATACTAGTCTATTGTAGTGTCTCTATGTCATTTTAATTGTCTGTTTGAGTGTTTCACTCTAATGTTCAATCATTTAGCTTTAAAACAGAGTATGTTGGTTTATGTTTTGTTTTGAAAACAAAATGGGTATGTGATTAACGATTGTCTTCATTGTATAGTATCATCTAAAATTTAGTGAAAATTTTGGTCAGACTATAATTTGTTGACGAACCAGTGAAATCAGAGATAACAAGTCTTGGATTTTGGCGCGAGATTCACTCATGTATATAGTTAAATAGCATTCTGGCAATATAGCTGATGTCAATTCGTGATGAAAACCCTAAGCCTAACTTCTGAATCTAAACCCTAATCATAATTCCTCACATTAATTTGTGACCTTCTTTTGGCCCTAGCAGGTAGATGGATTTTCCGAGGGTCACTTTAGCGTTACTCAAAAATTGAAAACTGAATTTTCATATTTTAGCATAGAACAATGTATAATCTTTCAATTCTAATGTATTTGCTAGTGTGACAGTTGATATGTTTGTTCGATAATAGTTGTTCTCACAATCCAATGAATTTACTGTACCTCGCTGTTTTCTCGTCAATCACATGTAACTCGAAAAATTTTAATTATCTCAAATGTAAACGAAGTAAAGAAATGAACTTTTTAAGAAGGTTTTTATACTTGTTTAGAATGATGATTCTAGAATGTGTCATTTAGTTTTTTTTTTACGTGATGTAACAAAATCTTTAGTATGTGTAGCAGAAAAAAAAGCTCATGTGAGTTTAACCTACCAAATGGTCTTCATCAACGAACCAGGATTCATGGTTTGACTAAACGCAACTAGCTACCTACAAAATATAACGTTTAACCAACGGAATCATTCAAAGTAGTCAGTGAATTGTCTAATTTTATCTGCTTAGGATTTGCGAAGGCTATGGCAATCAGCATGCTTAAGCCTAACCTTTATATTCAAAGAGTCGATGTTTAACCGTGAACTACCGTAGTAAACAAAGCGAATTAACCATTCCGACCTTTTTGCTTCAATTAATTATAATGAAAATTTAGTGAGTTACTTTTATTGTTCCTAGATGTCCTGGATTATCTGCCATATTACGGCAGTAAATTATCTTAAATATGTTATAACCATCGCACTAAACAATTCTAAAAAAAATTTGATGGAGTTTTGTTGGTCGATGACCAAACCATCCAGCTCAGAGAACAAAACTCCATCAAATCTTCTCCACCATCTCAAAATTCTAAAAAAATGTTGCAAAAATGTATTTCTTAACTTCTTTTGCATTCCAAACGAACAATTCGTTTTTTTCTAATTGAATGGTATGTTTATATTTGAATATAGTTAAACTTAATAACTTGTATGTAGTTAAAGCGAAAGCAAGGAAATACAATGAATTCATCGTATCCTGCAAATACTGTTGTTTTTTCCATCTAAGTTTATGAAGGGAACCAATAGCATTAAATCAGCTAACTTGAGAACTCTTTTTATTTATGGCAAGTCATTGTTTGAAATTTACGGACTATTATAATATATATATATTCCTTTTATCATTAGTTTTCTATTGACTTATCAAACAACTGTTATACAATTTACTATTCTTAATCTGTTCCTAGTTTTTTATTTACTGTATCTCCTACTCATAACCACTTTTGGCTTATTCATGCATAATTGATGTCTTTCATTTTATGGTGTGATATTGTCTGATATAATCGTGTATACACTACTCATTAATAAAATATAATGTAGTAGAGTTTGGTTACTGACTTCTAAACTCAACGGGCAGGATAGAGATGCTACAGAATTGTGGACCGATAAGGACTTAGCAGTTAACTTAAGATTACTAGTGCTGATTGGACGCATAATTGATGAACTCAGGGATATTAATTCATAGAAATTGCGATTCTGATTAGTGGCTTTTTCACATGATATGGATCAGTGGTCAAAAGTAACAATTATTTTCAGTTTTTTAAAAGTGTATTTCATTGCACTTCATAATTATAATTAGTATGACTGAGTTATTCTTTCTCAATATATGTACATATGCTATTGTTGTTTTTTGTTTCTAATCAGTTTTTATCCATACTGAAGAATTCAAAATACAATCATTTCTTTTATAAAACGTTTACTGGACGTGTAATCAGCAGTGTATGTGGCAAACTTCATATTTATTTTATTCTGTCTAGTCCGATGGTAGCGTTTTATTTGTTAAAATTTCATCTATGGTTCCCTGTAAGTGATTTTATTGTTAATTATTTTCACTTGTCAAATAATCCGAAACCAATTTTTTTATTAACTTAAGTAATATTTAATAATTAGATTTACATATTCTTTTATCCTGAAGTGATATCAAGTGGGAAATCATTAGAAATTAGGGGGTATTGTAAGTTTGTTCTGTCCTAATTGGATATTCATCTACATTGAGGTATTCAGAAGATTTTTGGGTTGTAAACTGTATTTATATAAATTTTGGCAATTTCCGAAACAGTTACTATGTTGAGATTGAAAGTATTTTCTTCAATATTAGATGAAGCACTATTAACTGTACTATATTAGAAACGGTTTTGACTTATTCGATCCCAGACCTCACGGTTTACTTCTTATATGTCTGTTTTGTAACATTATCTATGTATTTTTTTATTACAATTATATATAAAGGGTTTAAATATTTACTCTATGAGAAATAAAAGTTTCTTTACTCATTTGAGTGCAACTAACGTTGTATAGTTGTTTATTTCAAGCAAACTTCTTTGTTACCTTATATATATACAGGGCAGCCAAAACAATATGCACTGTCAGTTCATATAGTCATTGTCTGTTTTACTGAACTGTGTAAGTAGGTTCAGAGTACTTGGATAGCATTCGGCCATCGTCGTAACGAATTGTTGTAGATGTTGTGTGACATTGATCAGAATCGTTCACAATAGTGTGGATGCTTTCACTTTTTATCTTTTCTTAGATCTTCAGTTTTGAAATTATCTTCTATTTTACTATCCCACAAATTCATTCTTCTCAAACCTTATTATCTATCTCTAGTCTCTTCTATTACCACTGATTCCCTTTCTATTTCTACTACTCTGCCATATCATTGTGATGTAGAGCATGTTGAACTAATTGACATACATGACAAGTATTACAGTGCACATGACTGACTGATAATATCCATATAATTTACTCCGTAACTTTGCTTTTACTATCCAGGCATTGAAATCAATTTATTTCATTGGTTTATGGTATGTATTTTGGCCATTAATAAGACCAACTGTCAAATATCTACTACCACCATTGCCGAAATCTCAATCAGAAAAGTCATCTCAACTTTCAACAACAATGAATGGTGACGTCACTTCCGTCATTGATCAGTTATCATCAAGAAAACAACAGTGATACGATAGCATAATATAATTGTATTTATTTTCTTACCGTGTTCATTCGAATATGTTAAATATATACATATATGTGTACGTATCTATGTGAATACGAAGATCGAGAAAACATGAAACTGTGACTTTATTATTGTTGACCTGTTGTGCCTTTCTTCTATCATGAGTAAATTAAGATGACAAAGAAATAATAATGATTCGTTCGTATTGTACGATACTATATGAATTTATATGTGTTAGTGTACTGTTCATCCTATTATTTCTCCTCAATTTACTCACTAAAAGGATAGATTGAGCACATTTATCTCTAAATTATTATTAGCAAAGATTTTTTAAATAATTAACAACAATCCATATCAACTTTAACATTTCAATTTTATTTTTATTTATATCCGACTAGATTTTTTCCATGTGTTTTTCATTAAGACTAATTGTCTATATTATTATAACTATTGCTGTTATTATCATTGTTATCTGTTAAATTTCTTTTTCCTTGATGAAATGGATATGATTTACTTTGAAACAACTTGTAACAGACAATGAATAGCTTGAATAATCAATCTATACTGTAGCAGTACTTTTAAGTATTTTTGCTTCTATTATTATTATCATTATCTTTCTCTATGCTATATATTTTAGTTTTTATTTAAGCCTACACTATGTACTTCTACTTTTGTATGTATTTTATCTTGTTATTGGGAATCATCGAATTGTTAATTAGTGTTTTCCTCAATTCCTTGTCACTTTACTTCTTCCACTTCGTGTCTCTTTCTGTTATTTCATTTTTATCATTAGCAGATCTACCTCTAAATCTACACTTATTCATTTTTTCTATTACAATGTGATATTTTTTAAGAAAACAGTATCGCTGGCTACCAGTACTAATCATATAAAACAACTTCACGAGTGTATAGCAAATTTTTAATCGAGCGATGCCTTATATATATATATATATACCAGTCGGTTCTGTATTCCTCCATGTTTACATAATTTTTCCCCTAAAGTATCATTTATTCATAACTGTTAGTTTTAGCGAATACCACAGATATATCAGCGAGAAACGTAGGTTATTTTCCATATTTTCAAACTTTCGACACATTTTGTTTGGTTGAATTATTGTAGGATAATATTCTTTCAGCTTTAGTTTTATACTATCTTTCTTCTCTGGCCTGTTATATTTTGCTTATTTGGAGGATTTAATATCATCTAAGTTGTGAAATTATCCGATCATTTATAAATTCATGTATGGTATTTTATAAATATAACGGAAATCATCATTATACATTTTTCCTTGCCAAAATATTTTTCAGATAAGATTCCTCACTTTTGTTCGAACTTTTAACGACGAATCAAATTAATTGGAAGTTCCTGGGCTATTTGCATGTGCAGTCCTTATAAAATTATTGTTACACTTAGTCCAATACATGAATCTTTACTTACGCCGTAGAATGTATTACGTCATATGGGTAGTCAGAATCAAGATAGCTTCTTTCGTTTTGTGCACACAACTCTGTGTGGGTTATGACCGGCTTTGTTAGACTACGAAACAGAAATTTCCCGCTTCGTCAAATATACTTGACGGTTTATGCGTTATGCGGTCACTGTGATTTTCCACACTTGATCTGGGATCAGCGTGTTGCGAAGTGAAAATACGAGTTTAGAAGAAAACTGAACCATTCTCTGTAGTATTATGGTTAACTACCAGAACTAAATTTAGCCTTAAATCTTTCTCGATTATTTACTGACGGTCTGCTTCGAAACAACGGCGAATATTATTAAGCTTTCTATCAATTCAGCATGTAATACGCGTGTCTTGTGTAACACAGTCTGACATGATGAATGAAAATAACAGTCACAATAAAATTCAGAGGATAATCTCGTTTTATAAAAAAAACTAATAATAATGTGACGAATCTATTGACTATATGACGGTAAACATGACCGTTATTTCGGCCTATGATCCACTAATTTGACGTGACAACGTTGAGTATATTTTCACTATTTCTTGAGAACACATATACCTTAAGATAAGTCTTTAGCGGTTCGAAGATCGACGTCCACTTCTAAGCCAGTTGGCGCACGACAGTCTCAGATCGCGTGTCCAATATTTTATGAAACTATTTATGTTTTTATAAACGATCTAGAAAAATGTTGGTTTACATTTAAGTTAATGGAGTTCTGTAGAAAAAACTACAAGTTAAAAATCTCTGCGAAAATTTACCAGTCATTTAGAATAACCACATCTGAGCTCTGTGACCTGTTCAATGAAAGGTCCTTAGTCTAAATTATGTATTACCTCATTGATTGGTAACAGTTTCAAAGTACTTTTTGAGTTACTCAAAGTCGGAAATATGTCTTTGACAGTCATATACTGTCCAATCCTAAATGTGTAGAGAAAATATTTTTAAAGTTACCGAGCTTCTCTTCCGTATACCAGATTTTGTGCAGTTTAATATTCGCATAATATGTTATACCGTGGTCTTGAGTCTATATTTTAAATATTTAATTCACTGACAACCCAATGTGAAATCTTTTTCGCATGTTGTTTCATGAATTTGCCTAGAAATCCTTTCATATATGTTTCCCATGTGACAGTATTTCTTTGTTTCTCCTTACATGCAACGTTATTCCCACAAGTCTCTCTACTTATGTATATTATATTTATATTTTAGTTGATTTTAAAATTACTGTTTTCTTTTAGTGTATAATCTGATATTTTTCTGACTGCTAGTTTGTTTCTCTTGACCTTGAATTTTGGTGGCTACTGTATTCGGTAACCGTATTCTTGGCTATTCTTTTTTACTGCGATTCATTTAATCTATACCCAAGAGTTAATAACTTCGTTTTTTACTTGTTAGGAACATCGTTGATAAGTAATTAGTGACTTTTCACTTAATTGTTACATTATATTTTGATTACTGTCGTTTGGAGCAAAATAATTCTACTTGTCTCATTTTTCGGTTAGTACAGCGTTCGTTGCTTGACGCGAACGGTTTCTTCTATTTGACGAGTGCTGAGTCCATGCTTCTTAACTAATTAATTATTTGATATCGTATGGTTTGATTACACATGGTAGTTTTACAAATTATTGAAGGTTCCTGTCGTAAAAATTATTGTTCAGGTATATATTTGTACATATATATGCTTTGACAGTACTGCTTTTGTACCATTTTGTACACTTTTATATGCAGTCATTGTGTGATATCATCTATTGATGTATTTGAAACGCGTAAATGAGGAATCCAAGGGTAAAGAATTATAGGAATTCTTGTGCTTACACCCAGTTTGTCATACTTCAAACGGTATTCAAAGTAATGGTTATATTTCGGAAGCTAATTTTGTCAATACTTTAAGTTACCGCATTTCATTTGAAAATTTCTAATCAAACACAAATATTTCAATCACTTTTTTGATAGAATATCAGTAACAAACAATTAGATTGATTTGATTTGACGTACCGTTTTCTAGCACGTTTTTCCGAAATTTTACAAAATAGTTATCATTATAAAGTATACTGTCATTGTTTAATCTCATAAATATTCGCCTAATAATATGTGGGGGCGAATATATAGTTTTGTTAAGACAATTAATACTAACTTCGGTAAGCAAAACAAAGTTAGAATCTGTGGTTGGTTTATTCAAAATTGAATGTTTCAATCAATAAATTTCAGTTACATGATAAAGTTATTACCAGAATGGGTTTTGTGGAGAGTTTTAGAAATTTCACAGGTTGAAATCATGAGTCGATTGAAGATAGAACACCATGGAAAACCTGGAAGCACTGGACGGCCGTTTTGTCCTAGTATGGGACTCCTCAGCAGTGCGCATCCACAATCCCGCACCACGCGGGGCTCGAACCGAGGACCAACTGGCTCCGTGCGCGAGCACTTAACCACTAGACCACTAATTAAATCAATTTTGTAATTTATCTAGAACATCAACTAACTCAAACGAAGCGAACTACAACACTTATTGTCTTTCAATTGACAAATGAAAATGAGGAAAAGCACCTGCTTTATGTAGGGATTAATTAGTAACACACAACAGATAATCATTCGCCCTACAATGTTTGTTGCTCATTAACAATCGTCACGCATGTAGAATATCACTCATGAATTACTAAACTCCATAGACTAATTTATGAGTGTATATTTCCACAAAATCAGAGGCTATTTAATTATAAGTATGAAATTCAGGAACCAATTTAGTGTTTATGACAAATAAAATATCTTAATATGCTGTTATTGATTTTCTGATAATAATAATATTACTTGCATAGGTCTTTGTTGTAGTCTGTTCTCTTTTACTTTCTTTTGTGTCTGTCACCTGCCCATGTCTAAACAAAAAAGCAGACTAAAGTTCTACTTCTTTATGGGAATTTAGCATATCAGTTTGTATATAGCTTCAATACATATCAATTCAACAAGTGAATCAATGAATTTGTAATATTGGTCTGGAGAAAACTAAAGGTCCTGTTTGTTTACAGGGTAGATATTGAGTAACCACAATGAGATTATTTCCTGTGCATGTTTTTCACAAAAGTGTGTCGTTTTTATAAATGTATAATATTCATAATCTACATTATGTAACAAAACACTGTTTACTTCATGTATTAATAAAGAGCAAATGACGAGTGAAAAATTCAAGTCTAATTTGAAAACAGCAAAAGGCTGTAAATTTGGGACGAATTAAAAACTCAATACCGAAATATTTTTCAAGATGGCCATTTAAGTTAAAAAATATTCACAAATGTTTAAATCATTGTTACGATATTATTAGCAGTTCATGCTTGAGTTCCATCAGTTCTCAATCGTACTCAATCATCTTCTATTGTATTCTGTGAATAACTACCTTACACCAGATACGATTGAATCCCGCTGATCATGACTTTTCACCAGAAATCAGGACATTTTCTCACAATAACATTCAGTGATTTTTACAAAAACCCCATACTCATAATTTAAATACTATTCCTAGCAGATTTTGATAAAAATACCAGAATTATTTCAGACACAATGTCAACATTATATATATGTCCGTTAAGAAATGACATAAATATTTAATGAGGTATCAATCGTCATTCAACTCCATCACAATGCTAGGAAAGTTTTTGTTTAAACAAGTTAAGATTCCCGTAAACAGAAGCCATATTTATAGTTCCTAAATAAATAGAATAGAACAATGTTTACTGGTGCATAGATAATTAGTGCACGTAATTTTTAAGTATATCTTACATCTTATTATTAACATTGATTATACGTTATGTGAAAGGTAAGTAACTAATTAGTAGCTTTGAATTGAGTTGATTTTCAAGGATTATAGTGGTCTGATACATATCTTTGTGTTCCTACTTTAGGTGAATTATTTATTAATACAGTTGATCTACAAGTTTGATTACCAACTAACCATACCGTCTTATTATATGTTTATCAACCTAATGGAATCAGAGATATAATTAAATTTAGAAGTTTCTGTTTATGCTTGAACCTTGAATGTGTAATTTAATTACTAGGTTTATAGTATCCATATGTAATGTACACCATTCCGTTCTGTTTTCAAAAATACCACTGAATAATGCGACTACATTATAATTATGATGTACGAAGGTGCTTATCTTAATTAGGTTTCTTTAACGGATATATTTAAATATTTGATTATGAATTTTTGGGTGTAGTAATTGAAATACAAAACTGAATAATTTAAAATAGTGTGCTTACCCTATACCGTTTCTCAAAAATTTCCTTTGGACGTTTGAAGAAAATGTCGCTCTGTTACGTATAATGTTGACAGCTATAGTAGTATATACGGCGAATCTATTGACTCTGTTATAAATATGGTGTTTGGGACCTTAATTTCCAACAAGATGTTCCAGGAAAAGTTATTTCGTTTCACATGGCCGTCAGATAAAATTGTTGGTGACTGGAATAAATTTAGGAAGTGATTTGCAACTAAGCTTTATAGTTTAGCAGAGCAGTTTAAAAGCGGCTTGTTCATATCATGCATTATTTATTCATTATGTAGTGTAGCTAAGGAAATCTATGTTCGCACTTTTCCAATGTATGTCAAGTTCAGATTATAATATTCAGGACTGTAAAACTTTATATATTCACACAAAGTTATTTCACGAAAACCGAATCGATCATCATGTGCTATTCATATAAAACGAAATACCTTTAAAGGATCATATCATAAACTATCTGAAGTACTTAAAATCAAAGTTAGCCACAAGAATTATTGTGTAGTACAACTTAATTCTCTGAAAATTGAATAGCACCTGAT